CTATCCACTGAGCCAAACCGGTTTCGGCAACTTAGTGCATTTTTATTTTGCATTTCTGTTCTATAAGCAAAACCGAGCATCCCACCTTATTCACAAGGCTTTTCATTGCAATATTGATTGTATTGGAAATTACAGGAAACACAAAACCACCATGAGATACCATCTCAGACCCATTAGGATGGCTACTATTAATAATAATAAACAAATGTTGATAAGGATGTAGATAAATTAGAACCCTGTGCACTGTTAGTGGGAATGTGAAATGATGCAGCCAATATGGAAAATAGTATGGAGGTTCCTAAAAAAAAGTACTATAGAATTCCCATGTGACCCAGCAATTTCGCTCACTTCTAGGTATACACTGTACAGAATTGAGAGCAGGGTCTCAAAGAAATATTCGCACACTCATGTTCATAAAAGCACTATCCATAATAACCAAGAGGTGAAAGAAACACATGTGCCCACTAACAGATGAATGAATAAACAAAACATGGGAAATTCTGACACATGTTACGACATGAATGAAGCTTGAGGGCATTATGCTAAGTGAAATGAGCCAGATAGAAAAAGACAAATACTGTGTGATTCCACTTCCACATGGTACTTAGTCTAATTCAGAGACACAGAAAGTAGAGTGGTGGTCACCAGAAGAGGGAGGAAGGTGAAATGAGCAGCTGTGTTCAATGGGTCTGGAATTTCAGTTTTGCACGTTCTGGAGTGGATGGTGGTGATGGCTACACAACAATGTGAATACACTTCATGCTATTGAACTGCACACCTAAAAATGGCTAAGACGGTAAATTTATATAATTGTATTTCACCATAATATTTAAAATATATTTTTATTGATTTCAGAGAGAGGAAGGAAGGGGATCAATTATAACAGAAAATGATAGGTCGACTGTCCCCTACTGAGGATTGAGCCCAAAACCCAGACATGTGCCCTAATCTCCTGGTTCATAATCACTGAGGTACACTGGCCAACTAGACGAGCAGTTTTCAATCATTTCATCTCATGGTTCACAAAACTAATTACTAAATTCTGCAGCGCACCAAGAAATAGATTATTTTTTTTCTGATCCTCACCCCCCCAAAAAAAAGGTATAATTTTGATTATTCACATTTGGATGGCTATTGTGGTGTTGGCTGTTGTCATTTTTTTTACTTGACAAATCTAAAGGAAAAGAGGTCAGTGCCTCTGACTAAATAGTCAGTTGTTGCACGTTTTCAACTGGCACTCTGGTTTAAAATCAATGACTGGAGAGAGAAGATCGGGGTAGAGAGACAGCGTAGAATGTACACACAGTATTTGAAAAACGTCATCAGTATCCAGTTAGTTGGATTGATGCTCTGCAATCTCGATAAGCATAGCCTGAGAGGGGCAAGGGTGGTGGTTTTTGAGATTTATCCCACTCGGATATAAATTTTTTATTTTTATTTTTTTTTAAATATATTTTATTGATTTTTTACAGAGAGGAAGGGAGCGAGATAGATAGCTAGAAATGTCAATGAGAAACATCGACCAACTGCCTCCTGCACACCCCCCATTGGGGATGTGCCCGCAACCAAGGTACATGCCCTTGACCAGAATCGAACCTGGAACCGGATTCGGTGGATATAATTTTTTAAAAAGAAAACAATATTGGTGAGGGTGTAGAGACATTGGACCTATTAAAAAAAGAAAAGGAGCTGGAGGTCACATGTCTTTAACTGAGAGAAGAGGCATTTTTCCCTCAAGGGCAGGGGTTTTCCCGCCAAGGGGGTTGTTGCCCCAGTTGCCAGCTCACTGACCTTGCATCTCCCTGTGCTTGGGCACTGGTCTGGTTATCCACTGGGTGTCAGGATTCCTTTGGATAGCTTAATGGGGTGGATAGGGATAACCTCAAAGAACGTGTGCATGGCCGAAGCCGGTTTGGCTCAGTGGTAGAGCGTCGGTCTGCGGACTGAAAGGTCCCAGGTTCAATTCCGGTCAAGGGCATGTACATTGGTTGCAGGCACATCCCCGGTAGGGGGTGTGCAGGAGGCAGCTGGTCGATGTTTCTCTCTCATCGATGTTTCTGGCTCTCTATCTCTCCCTTCCTCTCTGTAAAAACTCAATAAAATATATTAAAAAAAAAAAAAAGAAAAAAAAGAACGCGTGCATGGAATCTTCTCCGAGCAATAAGAATTTAGAATTCTCAGAGCCCCACAGTGGAACCCAGCTCGCCTCGCTTCTCAGCAGCAGCCTGAAGGCTTCTAGCAAGTGTTAGCTGCTCAACACCACGATGGGCAGGTTTGCCACCGGACGCACTCTTAGGAACTGGGTGTCCCTTCTCTCACTTTATAAAATGGGGAAGTTACACTAATCAGTCTTATTTGATATATTAAATTACACAGGAAGCATTGTCAAATAAATTATGCTAAACCTTTATTTTGATATATTATTCATATAAATGTTCTAAACATTAGATAAAAATCCTAAAATTCTGACATTTTGGTAAGTTAAAAAAATAACACTTAGTCCTTCTTAAAGTTATAACTCTTATCATGTCTTTAACATGTTAACACCTATGAACTACTTATAACATTGTCCACAGAGACTGAAGGGAGAAAAATAAAAAGGTCTTTTTTTAATCCTTACCTGAGGATATTTTTTCCCATCGATTTTTAGAGTGGAAAGGAGGGAAGAAGGCGGGGGACAGGGCGGGGAGGGATAGAGATACTTCAATGTGAGAAAGACACTTCAACTGATTGCCTCCTGCATGCTCTCCAACCTGGCCAGGGATGGGACCTACAAGCATGCCCTTTGGTTCTCCAGCCGATGCTCTAACCACTTAGCAATACCAGCCAGGGCAAGGCCTTTTATTTATCTATTAAAAAACAAAACAAAACAAAAAAAACCATATATTATCTCACAGTTCTAGAAACCAAAATCCAAAGTGACTGGGTCCAAGTCAAGGTGATGGTAGGTAGGGATGGAGGATGGAGAATCTATTCCTCGCCTCTTCTAACTTCTGGTAGTTGTTGGCATTCCTTGGCTTATGTCTGCATTGCTCTAGTCAAGGGCAAAGCCTTTTAAAAATGACTGCCCAGCGGAGAGGCTCAGTGACTGGGCACTCCCTTGCACAGAAAGGTTTTGGCTGGATTCCTGGTCAGGGCACATGCTGGGGTGAGTGGGCGTGGTCCTCTGTAAGGGGTGTGCAGGAGGTAGCTGATTGATATTCGCACTCACATTAATGTTTCTCTCTCCGTCTTTCTTCCTCTCTCTCTAAAAATCAATTTTTAAAAATCTTTAAAACAGACTGTAGATCCCTGCCAAAATTAATTTGTAAAACAGCTGTAGTGTTTACAAAACTACTAGAAAATAATAAGGCCTTCGCCAGTTTGGCTTAGTGGATAGTGTGTCGGCCTGTGGACTGGAGTCCCAACTGAAGGGTCCCAGGTTCAATTCTGGTCAAGGGCACATGCCCAGTATGGGGTGTGCAGGAGGCAGCTGATCAATGAGTCTCTCTTATCACTGATGTTTCTGTCTCTCTCTCTCTTTCCCTTCCTCTCAGAAATAAAATTAAAAAAAGAAAAAGAAAATCATGAAACCAAATGACTGTATAGAAAAACAAGGATAAATTTTCAGTAGAAGAAGGTATGAAGTATAGAGATGCATTGTTGTTGAGGGAAAGGAAAATAGAATATTTTTTAAATAAGGGTATAAACGATATGGGTGGTTTTTGTTTGGTTTGGTTTTAGTTTTGGATTTTTGTTTTTGTATAAAAAGAAATAGAAAAGTAATTTTGTCCTAAAGTAAAACTGTTTCAAAATAAGACAAGAAAAGATACAACAAAAACTGAAAGTTATAAAAACTAAAAATGGAACTCCCATTTGATCCAGTGATCCCACTTCTAGGAATATATCCCAAGAAACTAGAAACACCAATCAGAAAGGATATATGCACCCCTATGTTCATAGCAGCATAATTTACCATAGCTAAGATTTGGAAACAGCCTAAGTGCCCATCAGCAGATGAGTGGATTAAAAACTTGTGGTACATCTACACAATGGAATACTATGCTGTGGTAAAAAATGGAGTTCTTACCATTTGCAACAGCATGGATGGAACTGGAGAGCATTATGCTAAGTGAAATAAGCCAGGCAGAGAAAGATATCACATTATCTCACTCATTTATGGAATATAATGAACAACATAAACTGATGAACGAAGTAGAGACAGAGAAACATCGATCAGACAGTCAAACCTCAGAGGGAAGGTAGGGGAGGGTGGGGGTAAGGCGGAGAGATCAACCAAAGGACTTGTATGCATGCATATAAGCCTAACCAATGGACACAGAGAACAGAGGGGTGAGGGCATGAGTGAGGGGGTTGGGGGGAGGGAGTAATGGAATAAGTAAATTAAAAACAAACAAACAAACAAAAAAAACCTGAAAGTTATATATAAGTTGCAAAAATGTTGTGGAAGTTGCAGAAGATTCATGAAGGGTTCTTGAGAAAATAATTTTATAGATGGTCAAAGTAACTAAAGTTGGAAGAGCTAAGACAACTGCATTCTTTATATGTATGTATGAGAATTGACCAGCTTTTCAACCATAGCCATTTTTAAAAAATTATCTGGGCCCTGACCGGTGTGGCTCAGAGGACAGAGCATCAGCTGCGGACTGGGGCATCTCGGGTTCAGTTCTGGTCAAGAGTGTGTACCTTGACTGCAGGCATATTCCCATGGGGGGTGTGCAGGGGGCGGCTGATCAATGCTTCTGGCTTTCTCTCTCCATTCCTCTTGGTTGAAAATCAATAGAATATATATTTTTTAAAATTATCTGGCTCTCTGCTCTTCCTGTTTATCAAACAGCCTCTCCTCCTGAGCTGTGCCAGCAGCCACAACCCTGAGACACGATGGTGAAGGTTGGAGTTAATGGATTTGGCCGCATTGGGTGCCTGGTCACCAGGGCTGCTTTTAACTCTGGCAAAGTGGACATTGTCGCCATCAATGACCCTTCACTGACCTCTTCTACATGGTCTACATGCTCCAGTATGAGTCTACTCATGGCAAGTTCAAAGGCACAGGACAGGCAAGGCTGAGAAGGGGAAGCTTGTCATCAGTGGAAAGCCCATCTCCATCTTCCAGGAGTGAGATCCCGCCAACATCAAATGGGGTGATGCTGGTGCTGAGTATGTGGTGGAGTCCCCTGGTGTCTTCACTGCCAGGGAGAAGGCCGGGCTCACTTGAAGGGCGGAGCCAAGAGGGTCATCGTCTCTGCCCCTTCTGCGGATGCCCCATGTTTGTGATGGGTGTGAACCATGACAAGTATGACAACCCCCTCACGATTGTCAGCAATGCCTCCTGCACCACCAACTGCTTGGCCCCCCCGGCCAAGGTCATCCGTGACAACTTAGGCATCATGAAGGGACTCATGACCACCGTCCATGCCATCACCGCCTCCCTGGATGGCCCCTCTGAGAAGCTGTGGTGTGATGGGCAAGGGGCTGCTTCTGCTGGCCCTGCCAAGGCTATGGGCACGGTCATCCCTGAGCTGAATGAGAAGCTCACTGGCATGGCCTTCCGTGTCCCCACCCCCAATGTGTCGGTTGTGGATCTGACCTGCCGCCTGAAGAAAGCTGCCAAATACGATGATATCAGGAAGGTAGTGAAGCCCTAACCGGTTTGGCTCAGTGGATAGAGCCAAGTGAAGATAAATGTTTTAAGGAGGAGGAGGAGAGATCAACTGCTGATGGACAGGCCAAGATGAGGATGGAGAATTTTTAATTGGCCAAAGGATTCAACAAAATTGGAAGTAACAGCATCCTTGACAAAAGCAGGCTAGAAAGAGTGTGGTAGAGATGGTGGGGCGGGGGGCAGGGAAGGTAAGAAGTCTGAATTGAGGGAGATTAAGAGCAAAGAAGGAGAGGAGGAATTTAAGACAGAATATAAGTAGCTTTCTGGAGTTTCCTTATAAAGGGAAATGAGGCGGCAGCTGGAAGCTAATGGAGAATTAAGAAAGATTTTTAAAAAATATTTTATTGATTTTTTTTACAGAGAGGAAGGGAGAGGAATAGAGAGTTAGAAACATCAGAGAGACCTTGATCAGCTGCTTCCTGCACACCTCCTACTGGGGATGTGCTCGCAACCAAGGTACATGCCCTTTACCGGAATCGAACCCGGGACCCCTCAGTCTACAGGCCGATGCTCTATCCACTGAGCCAAACCAGTTTTGGCAAGAAAGGTTTTTTTAGATATACCGATCTGATACACCAAGTTTGTTAGTTTGATTCCCTGTCAGGCAACATACAAAAATCAACCAAAATTGAAGTTACTCTCTTTAAAATCAATTTTAAACACACACACAAAAAAAAATTTTTCAAGATGGGTGACCAACCAGGATCTCATTTCTCATCTTTCCTCTTGCTGTAGACAAAAACCTATAGCCTTTTTTACCTTCCTCCTCAAGCCCAAAAAATATTTTTGCAAAGCTTTTCCTCCAGAAGGCTCTGAGCTGTAGGGTGTGGAAATCAGAGTCCTTTGTTCCTGCTTTTTGCTTTCACATCCCTCCCCAATGTGTTTGGCCAACTCAGTCAGGGTGTGGAATTCCAGAGCAGAAATGTCTCACTGCCCCCACACAGGAAGAGAGCAGAAACACCCAGGTCCCGGTGCCTAGTCCCCCACCCATGCAGCTCCACAGAAGTGCTGCTTCACCGCTGAGCTGCTTTCGGTGAATAAACTCTCCCTTCACTGGAGAACATGTGAACATGCCCTAGGGCTGTGGTTGGCAAACTGCAGCTCGCGAGCTACATGCAGCTCTTTGGCCCCTTGAGTGTGGCTCTTCCACAAAATACCACAGCCTGAGCAAGTCTATTTTTTAAGAAGTCGGGTTAGAAGAAGTTTAAGTTTAAAAATTTTGGCTCTCAAAAGAAATTCCAATCGTTGTACTGTTGATATTTGGCTCTGTGGACTAATGAGTTTGCCGACCACAGCCCTAGGGAAATGGGCCAGAGTCCTACTACACCCATTTCTGGAGGAAGCAAAAACAGCCTGTCTCTATTCCAGGAGAGAGGCTGCAGATTGCAAGGACCAGTGTCAACACCTTTGTTGCACACTGACATTACTCACAAGTACAATTCATTCCATGCAACACCTTATACAATACCGTGTGTGTGTGTGTGTGTGTGTGTGTGTAAGTGTTGGGGGAGTGGACTCCCCCACATCCTGAGAGAGAACATGATCTAAAAATGGCTCTAGCAGAAACCAATTTGGCTCAGTAGATAGAGCGTCGATCTGTGGACTGAAAGGTTCCAGGTTCGATTCTGGTTAAGGGCATGTACCTTGGTTGCAGGCACATCCCCGGTAGGGGGTGTGCAAGAGGAAGCTGGTCGATGTTTCTCTCTCATCGATGTTTCTAGCTCTTTATCCTTCTCCCTTCCTCTCTGTGGAAAATCAATAAAATATATATTAAAATAAATAAAAATAAAAATAGCTCTAGAGGGATCTGAGATGGCAGCGTAGGTAAACACACCTAAACTACTGCCATGCACAAAAATTTCAAAACTACAACTAAAAGACAAAACGTCTATCACTCAGAACCATGGGAAAGCTGGCTAAAAGGACGCTTTACAATTAGACTTGAAAGAGAAAGGAGCATCCAAGGCACAAGTGCTGAAAAACTGAGATGGGGGGCGCACGCGAGATACAGGCTGGCGGCGGATCCCGGCTGGTGGAGGGCGTTACTTTCTTCAATCTGAAGAGAGACAATCTCCCAATCTCTCTGAAATCCAGTTTCTGGAGAGAAGCTACACGGTCTGTCATCAGGTTGGAAAGTGAGGGTGGCTTGCTTGCAGAGCTGCAAGCAAGAATAATTGTTTGCTGTGCGGGGGCATGAGACATGGGGAGATGCGGGGAAGTGGTCCGGAGAGGCAGAGAAAGCAGATGCGAAGCCATCGTTGTTAGCCACACACTAGCCTAGAGACGCACTGAGTCTCCACCCTGCACAATCTACAAACACACCCAAGCTCCAAGCAGTGGCTTTTGCATATGAATGACCTTCTCTATTGCAGTATAACCTAGCAAACTTGAAACCTGCTGCAAACAGCTCCAAAGCCTCGATGCTCCGAGCAGGGAGGAGAGGACTATGGTTCTCACTGTAGCTCCTGCGGGGTGGCCTCAGACAGTAACTGAACTGCACTCCATTGGAGATCCAGAAGCCAGTGTACCTAGTGATCAGTTTCAACTCCTCACACTCATAAGTGACACATTCGGGAGACGGACTTAGTGAGCACCAAAGCCCCACTGAAACAAGGTGCGTATCCAGCAGAGCAGTTCTTCCTTTAAAGACACAGCAGGTCCTCACAGCCAATTGGCCTGGAGGTCAATTCCTCCCAGTGTACCAACAGCAATCAGGGCTTAATTACACCAAGACTTTGCACTCAGCCCACAAAGGGGTGTAGTGAGAGCGACCACCTCGAGTGATTGGGGAAACTGAGCTACTGACCCCTATAGGTCACTGATCACATAAAGCCACTCCATCAAAACAGGGAAGCAGTCAAAATGAGGAGACACAGAAGCATGTCACAAATGGGAGAGATGGAGGAAAGTAAACTAATGGACAACACAGAGTTCAGAACCATATTTATAAGATTACTCAAGAATCTTCTAAAAACCTTTGAGAAACTTGATGAGACCTCCAATAAGCTTAGTGAGACCTTCAAGGACCTTAATGAGAATGCCAAAAAAAAAAAAATGGAAAAGGACCAGTTAGAAATTAAGCATACACTGTCTGAAATAAAGAATATACAGATGCTGAAACTGGTTTGGCTCAGTGGATAGAGCGCTGGCCTTTGGACTGAGGGGTCCCAGGTTCAATTCCGGTCAAGGGCATGTACCTTGGTTGAGGGCACCTCCCCAGTGGGGGGTGTGCAGGAGGCAGCTGATGGAAGATTCTCTCTCATCGATGTTTCTAGCTCTCTATCCCTCTCTCTTCCTCTCTGTAAAAAAGCAATAAAATATATTAATAAATATATTAATAAAATATATATAGAAACTCAATTATAGATCAATGTACCCCAAGAGTCAAAACAAAGATCTGGAATATGAGAAAGCAAAAAACACCCAACCAGAGATGCAGAAAGAAAAGAATCTAAAAGCGTGAGGATAGTGTAAGGAGCCTCTGGGACGGCTTTAAGCCTACCAACATCTGGAATTTTGGGGTGCCAGAAGGAGAGAGCATGCAGGATATTGAAGGCCTATTGGAAGAAATAATGACAGAAAACTTTCCCTACCTGGTGAAAGAAATAGACGTAAGTTCAAGAAGTACAGAGAACCCCAAACAAGAGGAATCCAAAAAGGGCCACACCAAGACACATCATAATTAAAATGCCAAGGGCAAAAGACAAAGAGAGAATCTTGAAAGAGCAAGAGAAAAATAGCTAGTTACCTACAAGGGAGTACTCATACGACTCAGCTGATTTCTCAACAGAAACTATTCAGGCCAGAAGGGAGTGGCAAGAAATATTCAAAGTGATGAACAGCAAGAACCTACAACCAAGATTACTCTATCCAGCAAAGCTATCATTCAGAATTGGAGGTCAGATAAAAAGCTTCACAGACAAGAAAAGTTAAAGGAGTTCATCACCACCAAACCCAGATTACATGAAATGCTGAAGGGTATTCTTTACTTTTTTATTTTTATTTTTAAATATATTTTATTGATTTTGTACAGAGAGGAAGGGAGAGAGATAGAGAGTTAGAAACATTGATGAGAGAGTCATCGATCAGCTGCCTCTTGCACACCTCCCACTGGGGATATGCCCGCAACCAAGGTACATGCCCTTGACCGGAATCGAACCCGGGACCCTTCAGTCCCCAAGCTGACGCTCTATCCATTGAGCCAAACTGGTTTCGGCTGAAGGATATTCTTTAGGAAGAGGAAGAAGAAGAAAAAGGTAAAGGTAAAAACTATGAACAACAAAAAGACATCAAATACATATCTACCAACAAGTGAATCTAAAAATCAAGTGAATAAAAAATCTGAAGAACAAAATGGACTGGTGAATATAATAGAGTCAGGAACATAGAAAGGGAGTGGACTAACCATTCTCAGGGGGAAGAGGGTTTGAGGGATGTGGGAAGAAATTGGACAAAAATCTGACACCTATGGATAAAGAGTGGTGGGTGTAAGGGCATGGGGTGGGGAGGGGAATTAGGTGGAGGGGAGCTATGGGCGAAAAAAAAAGAGGAACACCTGTAATAATCTGAACAATAAAGATTTATTATAAAAAAGAAAAATGGCTCTAGAGTGAATCCAAATCAGACAGACTGAAGGAAAAAGGAGTGAAGCTGATCAGGAGGTGACAGCCACACAGCTCAGCTCAACACAACTGCTGCTGGAATAGAATGAAGGTTTAAGGAGTCTAAGTCTTCCAGATTTTCAACGTGAAATAATCCATCTTCTTAAATGTTGGCAACTAACACAACATTTTAAAATAAGGTGAGTTGGTCAAATCCAAGAAAAGGAGGCTTGCCACGGAGAAGCGATTTGCCAAAACCCCAAAAACACAGCCAGGTGAGGAGACGGAGCCCAAAGTTTCTAGAAAGCTGCTTTGGGGCAGTATCCTGATGGTAAAATACACTCACCCGGGCTCAGGCCGAACCCCCAGCGCTCCAGGCCTCCAGGTCCGGAGGGCCACGGGCAAGTCCCTGACCCTGCGCAGCTGGCCTGCCTCACCGCGCCCTCTATCCCCAGCGCCCAAGGTCCCCGGACTTCGGACTCCCCCGGCGTCCCCTGAGTAAGTCACTGTCTCTCCCCCACAACATTACCTCACACTCACTGCCCCCCCAACATTACCTCACACTCACTGTCACCCTCCAACATTACCTCACACTCACTGCCCCCCAACATTACCTCACACTCACTGCCCTCCCAACAATACCTCACACTCACTGCCCCCGCAACATTACCTCACACTCACTGTCACCCTCCAACATTACCTCACACTCACTGCCCCCCCAACATTACCAAACACTCACTGTCACCTCACACTCACTGCCCCCCCTCCAATATTACCTCACACTCACTGCCCCCCCAACAATACCTCACACTCACTGCCCTCCCAACATTACCTCACACTCACTGTCACCCTCCAACATTACCTCACACTCACTGCCCCCCCAACAATACCTCACACTCACTGCCCCCAAACATTACCTCACACCCACTGCCCCCCCAACATTACCTCACACTCACTGTCCCCCCAACATTACCTCACACTCACTGTCACCCTCCAACATTACCACACACTCACTGCCCTCCCAACATTACCTCACACTCACTGCCCCCAAACATTACCTCACACTCACTGTCACCCTCCAACATTACCTCACACTCAGTGTCCACCCCAACATTACCTCACACTCAGTGTCCACCCCAACATTACCTCACACTCACTGCCACCCCCAACATTACCTCACACTCACTGCCCCCCCAACATTACCTCACACTCACTGCCCCCCCCCCAACATTACCTCACACTCACTTCCCCCCTAACATTACCTCACACTCACTGCCCCCCCCAACATTACCTCACACTCACTGCCACCCTCCAACATTACCTCACACTCACTGCCCCCCCAACATTACCTCACACTCACTGCCCCCCAACATTACCTCACACTCAGTGTCCACCCCAACATTACCTCACACTCACTGCCCCCCAACAATACCTCACACTCATTGCCCCCCCAACATTACCTCACACTCACTGCCCCCCCAACATTACCTCACACTCACTGTTCCCCGCTCCCGCCCCCGCCAGCTGCAAGCCTGATCCCACCCCGCGTCCCCAGCGGCGGCCACACACACCTTCCGGCTCGCCCTCCCGCCCCTCCCGGACTGCCTGCGGGCGTCACCTGTGCGCCCCGGGCTCCACAGGCCGGTCCGCGGCGCCCCGGGCCCTCGCGCCGAGCTGCACGAACGCGGGCGGGGGGACGGAGGCGGGGGTCGCACGGCTTTATTGCATCACCAGGACGCGGGCGTGAGCGCGCCGCCCGCCCCCTCGCGCCTGCGCGCCGTCCTCGGCCGGTCTCGCGGCGGCGGGCGGGTGGGCCTCGTCCGCCAGCTCCAGCAGGTGCATGCGCGCCGTGGTCTCGGTGAGCATGTCCATGAGCACCTCCTGCTGCAGCCGCAGGTAGTTGTTCTCCTCCAGCAGCACCTGGCTGCGGTGCCGCGGCTGCGCCTTGCAGCCCGGGGCGGGCGGCGAGGGCAGCGGCGGCCTCGGGCGCCCCGGCAGGCCCTCGGGCGCCCAGCGGCCGCCGCGGAACACGAAGGCCCGGTCGCCGAGGCGCGTGCGCGGCGCGCCGTAGCGGAGCCCCAGCTCGGCGTGGCGCGTGCGGTGGTCCAGCAGGTAGAAGGTGGACACGGAGGAGACGCGGCGCTGCGGCGGGCGCCGCGGCGAGAAGCGCTGCGAGAAGTGGCTGTTCCAGAACTGCCGCAGCCGCTCCCGCAGGCGGCCGGCGAAGTCCATGGCCGGGCACCCGGACGCCTTCAGGTCGAGGACCACGTGGGGCCCCGCAGGCGGGCGGGCGCCCCGAGTGGAGAAGCGAGGACGCTGGTGACCCGGGCTGCGCCGCGGGACCCCTGGTGTTCTGAATGATGAAAGCAAATCAGGGGCACTGCTGGGGGAGGGCGTCAGCACAGCCCAAGATAGGAATTTGTTCTAGGGGAGAGAACAAGAGGAAGCTAGTAGAGGGTGTCAAGGGTCAGAGTCCCGAGAAGCAGAGCCGGAGGTGAGCATTGTTGAGCGGCCTGCTTGGTGATGGTTGCCCCCTCAAATCGCGGGGCCTGATGGGCAGGTCTTGACCACAAGAGCCCGTCCCAGCACAGTCCTACTTGCAGCAGGCCCCCAAAACCATCTTCCCAAAGGCCACCCTGGGTTAGGCCCTGAGGACAGAAATGCCAACGAAGAATCAGATCCCCGCTCTCTGAGCACTGGGGGCTGCTGGGAGGGGTCACGGGTGGAGGAGGAGGGAATGATACCAGAAACAGGTACTTCAAGGATTGCAAGACTTTGCCAGGTGGATTGGGGGAGCCTCTAGGCGGAGTAAAGAGCCAGGCAAGGCTTGCATGTCTCAGAGGTGAGGAAGAACTTGGGGTGGGTTGGTGTCCAGGACTTAGCTGGGAATAGCAGAAGAGGGAGCTGGACAGGGGAGGAGTGCACAGACTTCCCTCTGTGGGTGAGAGGGCCCTGCTGAAGGCTTACAGCGCCAGGGCTGGGTCCGGATCTGCAAAGTATCTGGTAGGATATCTAGCACAACCAGCACAACAGTCACCCTCATCATACAGCTGTTCTGCAGCCTCGAACTAGCACCTGCTCTGTGCCTGGCCCTGGTTGGGGCAGGGGGTTCTAGCCTGTGTCTGCCTTCAAGATGCTGCTGGTCTGACTGGGAAGCCAGACGTGTTTATAGATAGTTCACAGTCTAGTGTGCTCATTGTCACTTGGGGGCATGTGCTTAGGGCTTGAGGTAACAGGAGTTTTGCAGACTACATCTGACTTGGGTCTCAAGCAGACTACATCCTCAAGGGAGCTGAATTCCAGAAAGCAAACAAGTCCCATTTTCCTTCTCCCCCTCTCTCACCCCTCATCTCCCTATCAGTGCTGATTCTGTTGTATGTGAGGAGAGGACTATATGCTCTCTTAAATTCCTCTTCTCCCCATGAAGTGTGGAAAAGGGAAAGAACTCTGGGGCTGGGGTCCCTCTGCCATGCCTTCATTAATTCAACACACACTTATTCCTCACATTGAGCTGGATAAAGCTGGGTGGTGTTATACTAAATGTAGCTAAGGGACTCATCTTTTAAAGTCTACAGAGAACCCAAGAGGTAACAACAAGGCTCACACTTGAGGTTGCATCTTTCCAGAGAACCTTCCGTGAGAATCCTCACTGCTTGTTGTCCCACACCTGGAGGATGTGTTGGAGGTGCTGAGCTGCTGCCCCAGACTTGGCACCATCTCTGAACCACTCAGCTGATGTCCACCTGTTATGAGTCACAATGCCTCCGGGCCAGATCAGCCCACAACACAAGAGGTGCTGCCCGCCAAGCCATAAAACACACCCTGGGCCCTCCTGTTTTCCTTCAGCACATTTATCGAGTGCCTACTGTGTCTGAGGTGCTCCGCCAGGGGTGTGTGGAAGCTATCATTCTTGGAAGAGGGGGTCCGCACAGCCTGAGATAGGAATTAGTTCTAGGGCGTGAACAAGGTGAGAATAAGAGAGGGTGTCATGGGTCAGACTCCCCAGAAGCAGAGCCTGAGGAAGGATTGTTTGATTCATTGAAGAAGTGCTCTTGGAAGAAGGGAGTGAGGAAAGCAGGACAGGGAAGGGAAGAGCTGAAGGGGAGTTAAAGTGTGGCCTCAAGTGGAGATAAGCTTCAGCCCAGTCCCACAGGGAGCTGCAGAAATTGCACCACAGAATTCTGCCTCCTTACCAGGGGTCAGACCCAGCTACAGGAGAGCTCTCAACCTGGGCAGAGCCAGGTGGTTGTGTCACCTGGACAGTTTTTTTTCTAGAACACTTATTGAGTTACATTTAATAATATATATATATTCTTAATGTACAATTTGATATGTTCTGATAATGTATGAAATTAAGATATGGAGTTACCCATTATCTAAAGTTCCCTCTGTCCTATCACCATAGATTCATTTGTATTTTCTAGAATTGTATATAAATGCAATTTAGTATGCATTTTTTGCACTATCTTCTTACAGCATAATTATTTTGAGATTCGTTCATAATGCATTTATCAACAATTCATTCCCTTTATTGATGAATAGTAATTCCATTGTATGGAAATATCACAATTGTTTTTTCTATCCATCTGTTGATGGAAATTTGGGTTGTTTCCAGTTTGGGGGCTATGTACAGCTATTATGAACATCTGTGTACAAGCCTTTGGGTGTCCATGTACATTCATTTCTCGTGAATGAGTACTCAGGGGCGGAATGACTGGGTCATATGGTAGGCACATGTTTACTTCTCTGTGAAGTTATGAAACTTCCCAGAATGGTTGTACCACATCCCCACCACCAGTGAAAGAGTTTCTGTTCCTCCACATACTTGACAGCACTTTGTATAGTAAATCTTTTTAATTGTAGTCATTTTAGTGGGTATGTCTAAGTTGTGGTTTTAATTTAATTTATCACAGCTAATGATGTTGGGTGTCTTTTCATGTGCTATCTGTTATCCTCCTTGGTGAGGTTGTTCAAGTCTTGTTCATTTATTTTGTACTAGATTGTTTTTTATTGAGTATAAGGAGTTATTTAATGCTACATATTTGTCAGATATATTTTCTTCCAGACTGTGGCTTGCCTTTCTTTCTTTTTATCTTTATTTAAATCTTAAAATAATATTTATTGTTGAGAGTATTGTACAGATGTACCTTCTTTTTCTCTCTATTGCCCTCCTCTACCTGGTTCCCCCTCTGCCTCAGGCCTTCACCACCTTCTGTCTGTGTCCACAGGTAATGTATAAATGCATATACTATAAGATACTTTGTTAATCTCTCTCCACCTTCCCTCTGAGATTAGTCACTTTGTTCCATGTTTCTATACCTCTGATTCTATTTTATTCATCAGCTTATTTTGTTCATTAGATTCCTTGTTCATTCATTTTGATTTTTAGATTCAACTAGTGGCCTGGTACACAAAATTTATGCACTGGGAGGGCGTGTCCCTCAGCCTAGCCTGCACTCTCTCCAATCTGGGACCCCTCAGGAGACATCCCTTTCCCAACTGCTCGCCTGCCTGCCTGCCTGCCTGCCTGTCCCTAACTGCTTCTGCCTGCCAGCCTGATCACCCCCTAACCACTTTCCTGCCAGCCTGATTGACTCCTAACTGCTCCCCTGCTGGCCCAATTACCCCCAACTGCCTTCCCCTGAAGGCCTGGTCCCCCCTCCACTGCCTTCCCTCCCCTGCAGGCCCTGTTGCCCCCCACTACCCTTCCTGCAGGCCTGGTCGCCCCCAACTGCCCTCCCCTGTAGGCCCGGTGCCCCCAACTGCCCTCCCCTACTGCCCTGGCCACCCCTAACTGCCCTCCCTGCCAGCCTAGTCACCCCTAACTGCTCTCCCTCCCCTACAGGCCCAGTCGTCCTTAACTGCCCTCCGCTGCTGGCCTGGTCACCCCTAACTTCCCTCCCCAGCTGGCCTGAATGCCCACAACTACCCTCCCCTGCCGGCCATCTTGAGGCAGCCATCTTGTGATCACATGGGGCGGCCATCTTGTGTAAGGGCATGATAGTTTATTTGCATATTATCTCTACTATAGGATTATTATACAGGATTGTTAATAGATATATATTTATTGCCATTTTATCATTCATGTTTTTGTCAGGGGAAAGGGGTATAGGGGGTGCAGGAAGAGACTGAACAAAAATTGTACATCTATGAATGAGGACAGTGCAGGGAGGTAAGGGCAGAGAGGGGGGAGGGAACCGGTTGGAGGAAAGCTATGGGGGGAAGGATAAGAAACAATTGTAATAATCTGAACAATAAAGATTTATTAAATTAAAAATAATTCTCTCTAAAAAAAAAAAAAAAAGATCACCGAAACCAGTTTGGCTCAGTGGATAGAGCATCAGTCTGCAGACTGCAGGGTCCCAGGTTTGATTCTGATCAAGGGCATGTACCTTGATTGTGGGCACGTCCCCAGTAGGAGGTGTGCAAGAGGCAGCTGGTCATTGTTTCTCTCTCATTGATGCTTCTAGCTCTCTATCCCTCTCCCTATCTGTAGAAAATCAATAAAATATATTTTAAAATATAAATATTAAAAAAAAAGATTGCTTTGGCTTTTTCAGTCCTTTGAATTTCTATATAATCCTCTCTAATAAAAGAGAAACATGCAAATTGACTATACCTTCACTATACTCACAAGCCACACCTACCAGCCAATCAGGGTGAGTATGCAAATTAACCATACCAAGATGGCATTTAATTTGCATATCCAGGCCAGAGTGAAGACTGAAGACAGCGTAGAAAGAAGCCAAGTTCTGCAGAAGGGAGTGAAGCTGTGGAGAAGCCAGCAGGTGGGGCCGGCAGAAAAGGCAGGGAAATAAGGGGTGGGGAGAAGGAAGGGAAGCCGGTGGGGGCAGGGCTGTGGAGAAGGAAGGGAAGCAGGCAGGGTGGGGAGAAGGGAGAGAAGCTGGTGGGGCAGGGGAGAAGGAAGAGAAGCAGGCAGGGCAGCGGAGACCACAGTAGGAAGCCCTATTACAGGAATCTTCCTGCAAGGGGCATCTAGTTTTACTTATAATTCCATCCTATTTTAGAATTAGAATGTCAGTTTCCACAAATAAACCCTCACATTTTCCAAAGCTTTCTTTTCCTATCATCAGGACACTTGAGACCTCAAATGAGCCCTCAGAAGGTAGTCTGAATGATATGAAATTAAGAGTCCAGGAATATTTTATCCAAACTAGTGATCCAGTGATTCATTCTCATTCATATTTCTCTCTTTCTCTCTCTCTAAATTGTGTCTGTGCTATTAAATATAATTTTCATGCCCCAACCGGTTGGGTCAGTGGATAGAGCATTGGCCTTGGTCCTAGGTTCGATTCCAGTCAAGGGCATGTACCTTGGTTGCGGGCACATCCCCAGTGGGGTGTCTCAGGAGACAGCTGATCAATGTTTCTCTTTCATCCATCTTTCTAACTCTATCCCTCTCCCTTCCTCTCTATAAAAAAATGAATAAAAAATATATATATATTTTTGAAAGATAATTTTCATTAGCAATCATGACTTTTCAGGCAGGTCATGAGTGACCATGGTATATAGCAACTTTCAAATTTCCTTATTTCCATAGACTACAGAAAAGGAAAAGCTATAAAACCAAAGAAAGTCTATTTGATGAGGAAATTTAATTAAAATTGCAGAATTTAAATATATTTTTATTGATTTTTTATTGAGAGGAAGGGAGAGAGAGAGCTAGAAACATCGATGAGAGAGAAACATCGACCAGCTGCCTCTTGTTGCACATCCCCTACTGGGGATGTGCCCACAACCAAGGTACATGCCCTTGACCGGAATCGAACCCGGGACCTTTCAGTCCGCAGACTGACGCTCTACCACTGAGCCAAACCGGATTTGGCTAAAATTGCAGAATTTAAAAATGCAAATACACTTGAAGCCAGTTTGGCCTGCGGACTGAGGGGTTCCGGGTTTGATTCCAGTCAAGGGTATATACCTTGGTTGCGGGCACATCCCCAGTGGGGAGTATGCAGGAGGCAGCTGATCGATGTTTCTAACTTTCTATCTTTCTCCCTTCCTCTCTGTAAAAAATCAATA